CCCGCCAACGGAGAGGCCAGTGAGAAGGCCTGCCAGGAAAAATCTTACAAGCTTCTTCCAAAACACTGAATTCAACACACCAACTAAATGCAACAAAAAAAAATTGAAATTTAAACAACCTCAATGACCCGGGTTTTTGTCGTTTTCGAGTTTTAACGTCGAACCGAACCGGCCAAGCCACCAGTTAGACCGGTTGAACCGGCCGGTCCGGTCTGGTTTTAAGAACATTGTTGATAACAGGCTATAGTAATAACTAATATATGTAGGGTGCAAGTTGGCGCCGGTTCCGATTCGAAAAGTTCGGATTTTGGAACAATTTTTTTCATTCCGACTTCCGAAATTCCGATTTCCGAATTTTTCCGATTTTTTCGGATTGGAATTGGAATTATATAAAATAAATTTGGAATTTCCGATTTCCGATCCGATTCAATTCCGAAATTAATTCCGAAAAATTCCGATTTTTTTCCGAAAAATACACCTATAAATAATATATATTATATAATACTTATTTTCCGAAAAATACACCTATAATTTTTGTTTTAGGATTTTGACAGAATGAATTGTTGTTAGAAGTTTTATTTGATATTATGTTGTGTTTATTTTTATTTATTTTTTTGAACTGAAATTTAGTAGTTATTAGTTTTACTTTTATCGACGTGGATTAGGGGTGAGCAAGTCGGACCTATCAACCCGCTACACCCGTCAAACCCGTGAAAAACCGCCCCGTTGGGACCGGACGGATAGATCCATCCATAGGATTGGGTCCTAAAATGGTGAAGAATCGTGGGTTTGGGTCTAAGACGGGTTCAATTTTTTTAATACCCGTGAAACCCATCCCGCCCCGCCATATAAAACGACGTCGTTTTGTTTACATTATATAGTTTAATAAATTAATATTATTAATGAATAAATAAAGTATTTCTAGTATATCAAATACATAAATAAACTAAACTATAATTGTGGAAGTAATTCCTATAAATATTATGAAAAAATCTCTAAAAAATTAGGAAAAGAAACATATATATACAACCATCAACACACGGCAGAAAAAGAGAGATGAAGAGAATGGTGTTGAATGGAGCTGAATAGCGTTGGTTATGCTTGAAAATGCTATATTTATTTTATTCAAATTTTGTCTTTTAAATTTTGAATTAGTTATTTAGTTTTATAACAAATTTTATGGTTAACACTTGTATTAATTTTTATTTATTCTTGACATTTACATTATTTATGTTTCGTTTCAATTTAAGATTTTAGGATATTAATTTTAGTTTCTAATTATTCTCCCCTAAAACTTATAAATTATATATAAAAAAAATTGTTTAGACGATAAGGGGCTTCGACCCGTAAAGATTAGGTCCTACTACAAACCCGCCATGGACCCGCCTATCATAAACCCGTTGAAAACCCACAAGTTTGGTTCTTCAAAATCAAGAACCGTTGTTTGACGGGACGAGGGTGGGTTTTGATAGAACCCGCGGGTTTATGGCCGGCACACACCCCTAACGTGGATGTTCTTATTTTTGAAAAATTATGAACATTTTAGAAAATTTCGACTAAGTTTTGAAATTTTAAAGCTTATGTAATTTTCGATTTTTTCCCGAAATTCCGAAATTTCCGGCCCGTTTAGAATTGGAATGAATTTTTAGATTCCAAAAATTTTGGAATTGGAATTGATTTTGTACTTCCGAATTTTTTTGAAAATTTTCCGAAAAGACTAATTCCGATCCGGTCCGATCCATCCGACTTTCACCCCTAAATATATGTAATAAAAAAGAATGGAAATCTGTTACAACTTACAAGAATTGATAAATCCCTCACCACCTTCTATATTACTAAAACCTCAACAATCCACACTGTCAAGAATCCTATTCTTCTAAAATTAAGATGCACAAAGAAAACATCATCTGTATGTCAGTCCATCATAGGACTTGGGGTCTGGGCAAGAATTGTCCTGAAAAACTTTCCCCCCACTTTTTTCTTTTTCTTTTTTTTTTTTTTTTTTTTAATTTGCAGTTAAAGGAGAAACTAGTAATCTAGTCCTCTTCTTCAGTTGGAAGAGTCGAGCTTTTCGAACAAATGTCTTTTTCGTGAAGTTCCAACATCCTCTTCTCGGGATTGCACAGTCCTACAATTTCGCAAAATATATATATAATAAGCAAATTGCTAAGAAGGCAATGGAGTGAATTTTATTTAAGGATCGACTTTTATTTGAAGTATATATATATATATATATATATATATATATATATATATATATACCTGAACACTTGGGAATATCCCACACAGCAATAGACGAGGGGGAGCACTCTGCTTCGCATAGATGCTTACTGTCCTCGTGATTGACATTCATTGCAAGCATCCATGAACCGATTGTCACATCCTCGTTGCTAAACATTCGGAAACTGTATATCGTGTAAAAATAATCAAATATATATATACACATATCATTAATGTAAATTATAAAGCTTGTAAAGATTGCTGTTGTGTACAAAGAAACAACCAAGTAAAATTGATAACAAAAACTCTCGAGAAAAAAAATAAAATGGGAATCAGATAAGAATAGCTGCTTATAAATAATTGACTCTCATGATTCAACCTAAACATGCACATGAAGCAACAAGATACAGTTTTACCATATTAGTAGCTTATAGTTTCACAAAGCTCTGGTTAGAACTAACAAAAATTCGATATAGAGTTCAACAATAATAGTTAACAGACACTTCTTTGCAATACTCTTCCCCTATCCGTTCGGTTAATGGAAGAGCTATGCATGCATTCCTAATTTCGATTATCATATTCTCATAAAGCTTGACCATATTTCATCACTTAACTTCTCGTTAAATGAAAAGGGTAATATAACTCCTTATGTCCAACGTTCATTCCAAATATAACTAAAGAAATATAACTCGAGGTCAATATTTTTATAATATTTTTTAATTTGCACAATGTTCCTCTCAATTATGCGCCATATGGCTTCCTCGAGAAAATAAGCATAATATAGTATCAACTATAAGAAAGAGGTGAAGTAAAGAAGAACATAAGAGAACTAGCCTGTTATTTCTTAACGCAACCAAGCTTGCAACAACATCTGCAGAAAGGGCATAAATTGGACCATAAGCGTGAAGAAAGTACTCCTTCCCAAGCAAATTCGACAGAGGTTCGTACCTGTACAAATCAAAGTGATCCAATCACACAACGTAATAGTGGATTATTGTTAGTTCTTTATCTTCCCATCGTTTAAAAAACGATGTGAAAGAGAAAAAAAATGACCAAAAAGAAATGGAAAGAAAGGAAGAAGCTTCTGCAGAACTAAATCATTTAAAGACAATTACTAGTATCAAATATAAGTGCTTATAGCTTTCAAGAAATTCGACATATTTAGGTCAAATGACAACAAAAACAGATTAATAAAGATTGCACATAAATATTACAGAAACATATAATGTGGCTAACCATTTTAACTTTGGATCAGTAAACACGGGACCCTTTTTCAGGCACCCAAGATATGTCTGCGAATGCGGACGCTCTTTAGCGAGGAGTAAGGAAAGGCGATCTGCTCATGAACAAATAACAGCTAATGTAAGAAACTTGCGTAGAGCAAAAGTCAAAGATCAAATGAAAAAACTGAAACATGCGTAAAAACATTAAGTCGATATACCTGGTCGTAAATATATGTCATCGTCTGCTTTGACATAGAAATCAGACTCGTAAAGAGCATAAGCAGCTTTGAAGAAAGCTAAGCTATAAGAAGATAATTAAAAAAAAAAAGAGTCAGAGCAAATTGAAGTGCACATGCTAAGTATCGATTAATAATAAGTCAGAACTAACGTTTTGTATGGGAGCTTACTGTACTCCTCTTCGATATCTAGTAGTAAAAAATCATCATACTCGGCCACCTCCTTTTTGAGTGCTGACATCTTCGAGGCATCGTTGGTTCTACCAATTACGAATCTGAAGACCAAACCCGTGCTTTCTTCTAACCTACCATTCAATCCCATGTGAGTAATAAAGAAAAAATTGCACTTCAGACATAAAACAAAGATATATAGCACCAATTTATTTGAATTAATCGGTGAATCGAGTAAGATTATACATTTACTCAAAATATCCCCCTTTTTTCCAAATCTGTAATCCTTCTAACAACTATGAATGGCTTCGATTACACAATGTAAAATAGAATCAACTCAAGTTTTGCTAGGATCGAATCTTCATCCATAACACCATAAGAGAAACACAGATTGCATATTCATCGAATGTGCCAAATTAAACACAGTAACATGTCATTAAAGATCACATAAAAAAACCAATAGAATTGGGAAAAAAAAAAGAAAAAAAAAAGATGATACCATTAGTAACAACAAACAAATTTAATTAGATACTTATCGAAGAATCAACGCATTAAAACATCCCCTTTTCCAAATTTGCAATCCTTGTAACAGCTATGAATGGCTTCAATGACATAATGAAAAAGAGACTCGACAAAACTTTTGCTCGGGTCCAATCTTCATCCATAACACCATTAGAGAAACATCTAGTGCACATTCATGGCAAAAGCCAAATTAAATTAACCACAGTAACATTTCATTAAAGAACATAAAAAAACCAACAAGATTGAAAGAAACAAAGGAATAGTTATTCTATTAGTAACAACAAACAAATTCAAGTAGATAAATTTTCCAAGAATCAAACACCTTAAATGCAAGCACAGAAAAAAGAAAGGTATCGAGAATGGAAGTATACCGTTGGAGCCCCTGGTGATCGGAGGGAAACCAAGTCTGCCGCAAAGACTTGCGGCGGCCGGCGGATCCAAACCCGGTTTGAATACCCACAAATCCCATCACTTTGTGACGCTTTTGCCCCTCATTCGTAAAGCCGCCGCCACTCCTCCTACTAAGACCACCACCGCCACCGCCACCGCTAACGATAGAGGACTTATCCCAGGTAACAGAAACCGATAGGGGTTTACCGAATTTGCAATTGCTCCCCAGACCCTGCCGTGAAATCGCGATAAACCCGAATACGAAACCCGAGAACCCGATCAGCAAACAGAAGATCAGGACCGCCGATCTGCGGCTGTAGGAAGACGGGCGCGCGTAGAATAACTTGGGAGACGACGGCATGTTCCACTATGAATTTTTCTCAAACACAAAATTTTGAGCGGAGAAAATTGAAATTCTTCAATTGAGGTTTTGAACTTTCTGATTTTTTTTTTTTTCTCCGATCTGTAGAAGAAGCTATTTCATGCTATGTTCGTACGATGAAAATTGCAGTTTCGTAATCGACTTTGTAGCGTAGCATTGCGTAGAAGAAAAACGTAGATACAATTAATTTGTTGTGTGTGTATATATATATATATACAATTCTCAGAGATTTAGAGAGAGAAAAAAGAGAGAGAGAGAATCAGGGAAAACGCAGCTGAAATTGGATACTGATTTCTGCAACTGAATATAGTAAGTACCAACCACACTTAAAAAAGCGCTTTTACAGCACTGCAGATCTTATTAGCGACTTATTATATTATTATTATTATTATTTTTTTTTTTTTTGCGGAAATGACGAAATGAACTTAGACTAAATTATGAAAAGTACCTCCACCTATCCGTAGTTATCAAAACACCCGGCGTTTGTTTCCATCTTACACTGACCTACACCTACTTACGGTGCGATTTTTTATGGGATCTTTTTGATTAGGTGAATATTTCGTGAAAATTGCTAATTTTATCTCGGCATACATGACATTTATTAATGCTACTTTATAAAGACAAAAATTACCCTTAGAGGAGTGACAATAACACTAAAAAAAATGAAGAACCCCCTCAGATGAATAAAAATTCTGTGTAAAGGACCCCTTAAAGATTAATTTTTGTCTTTTAAAAAGTAGCATAAAGAAATGTTATGTCTGTAAGGGTACAATCGACAATTTTTTTGGGTATAATCCCTCGACTCAAAAAAGATTCGGTGAAAAATCACATTATTAAAGGGTCGGTGTAAGACGAAAACAAACGTTCTGGGAAGAGTTTGATAATTACGGATAGATGCTTTTTTTTTTTTTTTGCAATTTAGCCTACTCACAACTCGCAAGAACTACCCCTCTAATTTTTTTATAAATTACAAATGATGTTATGTATTAGTAAATTGTAACATAAAGATAAATCTCAAAACCTCAAAGAGTAAATATATATATTTATTAATTTAAAAAAAAATCAATAAAATGGCCAGTTTTTAAATTATTTTTTTTTTTAATTAACCCAAGAATATAACTTACCACACGTAGGGTAAAAAAATGCTCTTCACCTTGTGGCATTTCCATTTTGCACAGAACTAAACCAGGAACCTGGATGAAATTTCATTTTCCATTATGTTAAAACACAATTTTTTTACAAAAAGACAACATATTTCGTCTTTCAATGTGCATTTGAATCGCAAACGACATTAGGCGAAACTTTCGAAATTGGATTACACAAAACGCCACACAAATCATCAGGCTGTTTCGCTAATTCATCATCAAGAAAAACGACTCTAGATTGTGCACTCTCCGACTCTTCGAATCTTGTCTCCGACTCTTCGAATCTTGTCCCTTCCACATTACCTGCTTCTTCAACACACGGGTTAAAATCTGCTACTTCTCGATATTCCTCTTGATCAAGTTTCAACGGTTGATTTGGCAAAACAGGAGGACACTCTCTCTCCTTATCTAATCCCACATTTTCCAATCCACCATTTATGTTTCTTGTCCCAATATTGTTTTTTTCTTCTGTAGATAAATTATCGTGAGAAAGTAGTCCTTGTACCATGTTTGGACGATCAAAAGTCGAATTATCACATGATCCTGATTGATTCACGCGAAAAGGGGGTCTTTTAATAGCATGAATTTCTTGAGAGATCAAACGAAGCCTAAGATTGGTTGTAAATATAATGCTCACTAAAATCGACATAGAAAAAGCTTACCGTTTATTTCATTTGAGGTGCGGTTTTCGTTATATAACGGCTTTTGCAGCCATACTGCTCCAGGAAAAACCATCAGGTTAGTTTTACTAAGATTTTGCCTCTCGTCCTCTTCCAAAGGTTGGAAGCCGAACCCACCTGTCCATGTCTCCACTAAAGTGGGAATCGCAGATACAACGAGCTTTTCGACCTTTAAAGATTTTAGCATCTAAATCCACAATTGACTAAAGTTAGTCGCCTAGAGGAGAAGTTGTGTGAAAAAAAATTCAGAATCTAGTGAAGAAAAAATCTTGTACAAATGCTATTGTCATCATATTCTGTATTACGGGGAAAAAAATAACACGGTAATTTACTAGGAATATAATGTGAAGTAGAAATAAGTTACCTCTTCGATAGAATTGATAAGGCGGCGGCACATTCCCTGGCGACGAAATTTGCTGCAAGTGGCAATTAGAGGCAACTCTGCAACTGCCACCCCATGGATTCTGCATCAAGGTTAAAGCTTGTATTATAATTGCAATTATGTTCATAGTTACACCGAAATCTATTGATCAGGAAACGACTAGGCAGGAAACAAAGACAACTTCTAAAGAACTATTATGGGTTTCCTTTTGGACTATAATTAGGATAAAAGTAACACTGGTACGATGTTTAAAAAAAAAAAATCTTATGTAATAGCCTGACAGTTATACAAGCAATTTTTTACTGTTAGAACTGCAAAAAGCTGTGTGCTTATCAATTTTGAGCAAAGCCCCTGGCGATCAGCATTTCACAAGAATTTCATTTTGAGACTCTAGCGTTGTTTTCTCTACTGAAACCCCTCGTCAGAGATTCATGAAATTTAGAAATTATTACTCTTTGAAGTATCAGGTGCTTGAAATCTTTGACTTAAACTTGGCACCGTACGGTCTAGTAAGATAGGAGTTCATGGTGAAACGGCAGCAAAATGCTGTTAGTATATGATCTTCGTGTATAATAGTTACTCGTTGACGTGACATTATCCAACCTTAGAAGCTGATTGGTGATTTACGAAGCCAACACCGCTCTAATGTCAGAGGAGCTTATAAAGGTTATGGAATCCAGCAAAATGAAAAGAACCAACTAAGCAAAAAAACAAAAAGATCTTCTAGGCCACATGAAATAACCATTTGACACAACTTGACATCCTTAAAAAGAAAATGAAGTAGAACGAACAACGTGTGTGTCAAATGGCTCCCAACTGAATATCAAAAACCCTGAAAAAAGATCGATTCTTTGCGGCCCTCACTTTGTTGAATTGAAAGGAACAGACGATGGAAAAACGCAACAACCGAAGTATCTGGAGAGAGGTTTTACCTGATAGATGCTACAGACAGGACAACATCATCTTTTTCCAAAACCACGGTGTAAAAGCCATTATAGTTCAGACGTGCAAATTGTGATCTGAAAGAAGCAAGAGGGAATAGTTTCTTTCAGTTCAAAAGTCCAATACTTTCCAGAATGTACAAAAAATTAAGTCTGATTGCTGCCTTGGAGATCCATATCCAAGAAATACGAGTAGCCTACGCAGGTGCACTTATAGTGGAGAAAAAGGCAAATTCAAGGAATGTGCAATCGCAAAAGCCATGCGAATGCCCATCGATAGTACTTACCTCCAGTTATACATTACTTGAGGTATCATGTCTATGCCTGTTTTCATATCGACCATTGGAAGAAAGCATTCCTCCATAATTGTAATCGCAACAGCCAACTTTGAGTTGCATTCTGCCATCAAAGCAACGACACGCTGTAAAGACTGAACCTTTTGATCACCAGGAATGCACCGCAGAAGAGTCCAAGAGAAGCCATCAGAGAGAAGATTTCTCAACCCAATGCAAGACTGAAGACCTGTGTAGATCTGCATTGTGTAATACAAAAAGAGACCCATTCTCATTGATTAACACAGAAAGGCACCAAATAGAAGCAAAATAATCATTACAATTCTCTTGCGACAAGGTTTGTTTACCTTGTGACAGCTATCCCCACAAAGCCAGGTGTCTGAGTCGAATGCAACTTTCATATCCTTCTCTTGCATGCAGGTTTCATGATCTGTTTGTAGGATTAAGCTATTAGGCTGTCTGAATTTAATAAAAAAAAAATCAGACAAAAATCCAGTTATTTTTATTTATATCCACGTGTACCAAAGAGACAGGCAAGACCCAAAAAAAGTGCTAAGCAATATATAAATACAATTTGGTAAAGCTAAAAAAAAAAGCACAAATTTAGTAAGTTCAAACAAATTCCTGTGATTACATTCACTGTTGATCAAGCTTCCAACATTTTCTTTGCAAGTAAAAAACAGTCAGATATCAAATGGATTAGAAGGAATAGTCAGAAGTCAAACGGATTAAACCGACATAAGCTTATCTAACAAAAAAATCCACAAACTATTAAGAGGAGATTACATTTATGCTCGCACTGAGAGCATTTCAGAGCCCCACGCAATTGTGGAGTTTCCTTGTCATTGACTGCATCCTCACAAATTTGGCAACGACATTGTGGACAATACCAGTTTCCTTCAGGAAGCTCCTGAAGAAAAGCAAAATAATCAGTTTACTCGGGTTCGAATCAATTTTCAAACTGCATTAGCATAACAAACACTGCAATAAAATACCTAAATATTAAACATAGAGGCCAGCAGAAATTTTCAAGAAATATGTGCTGTTATAATGTGACTAACATATTAAACAGCAATTTCACGCCACAACCAGTGGGAAACACGTAAATGGATAAATCTTACTGCAATTAATGTGCATTAACCAACTTCATATTAATTTTACTAACAAGAACGTCAACATTATCCACAAATATTTAGAGAATGGATTTCATGATGTGAACATTCTACCAACCTCAAAAGCAAAATGGGTTAACTGATCTATATTAGGGCTAATACTGATAAAACAGCCCCAATACCTTTATTCTGTAAACTACATTGAATGGGTACACACTTGGCCATCATTTTTATTTCAAAAATCTTTCCGAAACGTAACACCTTTTGGTATAAAAATCTCAAAATCAAGGGCTTGAAATTAAAGGATTTACAACTTTCAGAAATGCGAAGATAAATATAGCAGCACTAGTCATCATTAACTAATAAGTTTAATATCTAGTTTTTCATCCTTTTTTTCCTGCAGATAATGGCAGGTTTTGGGTGTCAAAGGATAGAGGATTCTGATACATATTACACTTCTCATTCCTTTTTTATAGGAATGGTAAGATATAGATATAATTAACAAGTACCTAGGGAACTGCCACACATAGAAATGTATGAAATGTTCGAAATAATGCATCACGGGAATTAAACTTCAAACATGTAAAATACAAAAGGAAAATCAATAAAATCTCATGTTTGAATAAACAAAAGCAAATCAAACTATTAAGGGAACTAAAAAGCATTCCAGCCAAGCCACTTAGGAAAGGAACTGGGAATTAACAGACAATCCAATTATATTTTCCTGCCTCGTATCACCAAGCAATGTAACAAGAGCCAAATTCCAATGTCATGATGCTTTCTATTGACTATTTAGCACAAAGATTTGAAGTATATCCATCTGGGTGCGATGAAAAAATAATGATGACTTAATACTCTCACTTCTAGAATGAGTATTTGAAATTTTTTAACTTGAAGTCCCAAAAGACTTCAACATATAGAAACATATATGAGAAGAAATCAAGATATAAGTTCTATGTTAAGTCAGTGGTAAAAGTAAAGACAAACCTGTTCAAACAAGCATGCCTGATGAAATGCAGATGGACAGTTATCACAACATATCAATTCACCAACATCACCACAGCGCCCGCAACTGTCATCATTTTGATCCAGCTCATCAACTTGATCGGTTTGAGGAGCTTCTTTTCTGGTCTTGTACTCAGTTGACCATGCCTCCAGCTGGCATAAGGTAAATGGCTTACCAGACTCCATGAAAAGATTAGTGCAAGGACCATTTAACCTGAAACCAGCATGACTCTTGAACTCCGAGATAGAAAGCACATTCCCGCAACACTTGCATAATATTCCATCCTTGGTAACTACACCATCTTTAATCACAGCATCATCTTTTTGATTTCGGTACTGGATTACTTCATTTAGAGAAATAACACCAGAGTGGATTAACCATGATAACACCGTTCTTGATCCAACGGCCGACCAGTTCCCTTCCGTCATATAGTTAGCGCCCTTCTTAACGTTCCTTGGGAGCAACCTGCAGCTGCCTTTAGGAGTCTTTCGTTTCCTCAGAGGTTTGGACTTGCGGGTGGACCATTTTTTTGTGGTTCTACATGTTTTCGTTTTCATAATGGCGGAAATTAAGAGATCATCATCGTTAAGGCCGCATACCTTTGATTTCTTAGATCCATATCTAGCTTTGCTTATTTTACTCATACTGCAATCGCCTCTTGTACCAAAATGACTTCCACTCAGCTTCATCTCAGATATTTTTCGTGATTTCTTATAAGCCTTTGTATTATGCCCAAAATCACATTCCGCCTCAATTTTGGCTTGGTCAAAACTTGGGGAACTTGTGCTGCTATTTTGATGGCGGAAAACAGCCTCGGGTCCTCCAAGCAATTGAGTTGCTCCTGCACTAATTGGAACATCAAATAGACCAACACCAATCTGATTAGTGTCATTGCATTCCCACTCTTGCCGGGGCCTTGAGTTCACGGGGATTCTTTCTGATCTGGAGATTTTCTGGTATTTGGCAGCACACTCAACATCTGATGGAACCACCGGACTTCTCTTTGATTTTACTGGAGTTCCTTTTTTCAGCAAGCGAATTGTCTTGTCAATGAAAATTACATTTGCAAAAGGATCCAGAAGGTACCACAAATTAGCCATAGCAGAAGTATTTTCTAGAAAATTTAATTTATCGTCAATCTCTGCAACTGTTTCAGATAAGTCATTCCACAATTCAGTCATATCAGCCCACTGCATACAGTCACTTGTCTGCATAAAAGAAATGGAATCGGTCAACAGACTCTCACCGCACATACACCACGCCCTATGAAATTCACGAATTGGTCTTCCTCCTGGAGACTTATAAACATATTCTCCAATCCCATTATATTTACTGTTCCTTCTACGCCTACCAATCACCCATCCGGCTGACCTAAGCAAGCGATTGACGTGGTACCTAAGAAGAGGTCGAGGATCATTTTTTATGTCCCTTGGCATGGCGAATTCCTCTTCATCCAGTTTCACAAAGCAAGCATCCTTCCATTTAGGCTTAGTTGGTCGATGTATTTCCAAATTCTTTGCAACAGAGACAGGTGGATCAATCACTTGGAGCCTGCTCGCGTAGCTCTCTTGAGAAATAGGTGAAGTAACAGCTACATTTGTAGCTTCCTTCTGGTCATTTTGATCTAAGCTAAATACTCTATTGTTAGGACTACCTCTACCACTAGTTTGACATCTTTTGTCCCCGTAAAGAAGTGGCTTCAGTTGATAGCTACTAGATGTAATACCATGGGTAGATGATTCAACTACACGATAAATTAAACTGTTAAAAGCAGAACCAAAATTTTCTTGGGAGATACCGGACATAACTCCTGAGGAGGACGCAAACAAGGTATCTTTCAAATCAGGTTTCACATCTGGCAGATCTCCAAATGATAACTTCACCTCATGGTTACTGATTATTGACGATGTAAAGTCCCCACAAGGATATCCTAATGGATGTTTACCGGCAAAATCCTCTTTTGCATAATCAGCTTGACTTGTTAATGACGACTTTCCACTGTTTGAGCAAAGATACGCGTCTGTTTGCTTAGTATAATTATGATCTACTTCAGTAGTTTCGGAAACAAAACATCCTCTTTTACTACTACCGTCACTTCCAAAGAAAACCTCACCAAAAATTTTCTGATGATCCACAGATCCCTCAAAATTATCATCATGCAAATCCTCAAAAACTCTGCTGAATATCATGGTTGAGGATTCACCACTTCTCGTCTCTCTCATTTTCACCTTTAATGATAAATGATTGGAACAAAGAACTGCTGCTTCACTGCAAAAGATTAAGTAACCTGTGCATTAATTAAACGTCAAAGATAATTGCTGCGAAAATTAAAAAATGAATCTACATACGCACTCGAGGATCAGTCGAATCACATCATCCTCAGAAAAGGAAATTCTATAATTAATTATAACCAAAAAGATGACGTGCCGACATACGTAACTAGACCCAACAACTTTTGCCTAAAACTTTTAGAGAAGCGTAAAAAGGGTGATTTCATCGTAGCAACAAATGATATCTTAAGTGTCCGTAACTAGAAAATATACATGTGAAGCAAAATCAGCATAGAAAAGTCAGGATCCGGCAAGTCAAGTGACTACCACTGCATGGAAAGTGCGGTCACATAATTCGCTAAAGTACAAGAATCTCTTAAATGCATATAATGAGAAGAATGTCGGTTGGTTCCTATCCACGTGGATGTACGGAAAGTTATCGGTATAGATACAATTCAATGCTTCATCCTGATTTAACTGAAACTATTTACGATGAGCACCAGTACATTGGGCCCACTGAGAATAATCACCGCTAAACAATTGGGAGCAATAGAATTTCAAATGAAGTCATCCTAAACAACGGAAGACATCCACTTTTTAGTAGATGTAAGGAAAAAAAACAAAAATTCATGTATGACAAATTTGACAGTCTCTACATCAGGTTGAGGATTTATTTAGTATCTTCAAATGGTTCACAAAAACAAACGGTAGAATTTATTGCCTTGCATGTTCTTCAGATATCCATATAATTTAATTCCTTGCATGCATAAGCAGAAATATACATTTAATTCCGAGGCTAAATTAGCTAAAACATAAAACAAAAGGAGATAGAAAAACAAAGTAATAAACTCATGGAATTAGTTAACCAAAACCAATTCGAAAAAATTCCAACAAATTTTGCTGTTAAACAGAAAACTTACCACAATTGGATCTTTCCCATTAACAAAATTCCAAAATTTCAGCAAATCCCACCTCATAATCCCCACATTTCAAATTAAACCCCCCAAATAGAACAAAACTACAAACAAGGAATCCAGCTCCACGAACCAGAATTCAAGGAAGAAACACCAAGAAGAAAAGCTCAAACAATTATACGAAACGGAGAAAGAGAAAATTCACCTCTACATTGGACAATCCGCCGCAGCAAAAATAAATAAAAAAATATTTAGGGTTTCCACCGAATCTCGAATTGGACGCTGTGGAATGTCGAGAAAATGGGATAAATCCACCGCAGCTTTGTAGGTCCGCCACGCTCTTTGTCACGCGCACGCAAACACGCAGAATGTGTGTGAGAGAGAAACACTCGCGAGAAGAAGAAGGGAAAAAAAAATGGCTTCGGTATGGCCGAATGGTGCTCCAAATCACTACAGTTGTCAAGCATGATGAACCCAAACCCGAGCGAGCTGCCCCTCCTGCCCTCTCTCTCTCCTCTCTCTCTCTCTCTAACCTCTTTTGTCGTTTTCTGTTTTATTAATAGTAAGTTTTTCTTTTGTGCAAATTATTGTTTTAAAACTCCCTCCATTACGTATTTCCTTAGTAATTATCCAAATATTTTTTGTAATATAAAAGTCCCAACAAATATTTTCCTTATTTATTTATCTATTTATTATTATTATTATTATTATTATTATTATTTACGAAAAATACACTTATAAGCTATAATAACAATATAATTATGTATTTTATAGTTTAGGTGAATAAAAAAATGGAATTTCGCCGATCCTGAAAAGATGAATTTTGATTTTAGAACAAGTTTTTCATGCCAATTTCTAAAATTCGATTTCCTATTTTTCTTTTTCCTTTTTAACGAAATTCGAATTAATTTTTCACCTCCTAAAAAAAATTAGAATTTTCCAGAAACGCTAATTCTAATTAGTCAGATTTTCACCAGCCTGTAACGCTAACGTATAATAGCTTGCAAAACATACGAGAGACGTAAACCATAATAGTATAACTATGTGTGATAAGTTCAACCTAACGACCGTTGACAAGTGGATTCGAATTTGAGTCAATTGATACGTGCGGCTCATTTGCTCCAATCGCTAGGTCGTCCATTGTGTTACTACATTCGACAAATATATATGTGATGTGTGACGTGATATTCATACAATAAAACCTCAATTAAATAATCATCGATAAATTGAATATTCTTAAATAATAGTTTTTTCATTGACTCGATACTAACTTACTAAATCATTAATTCAATAATTTAATACTCGCTAAAATAATAAATTTATGTTAATCCTGTTAATTTATAGAGATTTGATTGCATGTAAAAATAGAACGTGCAATTATTATTTATTTATATTTTTATTTTATCATTTTGTAAGATGTGCAATTGACAATACACTTTAGTTTATATTCGATATAGATGATTATCTACACACTCCGACTGTGTGAAAAATTTGACATGGCGGCACTACATTTACGCCCCCTCGCCCCCTATTTATCTTCTCTTTCAAAACGACCCCTCAACTTCTCATATTCACACTCGATCTCCATTTCTCGCAGAAACAGTCGCTTCTCAGCTTCAATCATGGCTTCCGCTGCTAAAAAGGTACCCTAACTCTCCGCCATTGCTCGAAATCGATAAACGCTTCGCTGAAATTCCGATTAAGCTTATTAATTGTTCTCTCTGGAAAATTATTTTGTCGTGTTGCGAACGTGTAGGTTTTGGTGCCGGTGGCGAATGGCACGGAGCCACTGGAGGCGGTGATAACCATAGATGTGCTTCGGAGAGCCGGCGCCGACGTGACGGTGGCGTCGGTTGAGAAGGAGCTCACCGTCGACGCCTGTCACGGCGTCAAAATCGTTGCCGATGCTCTTATCTCCGACTGCGCCGATGTTGCTTTTGATCTTATCTCTCTTCCTGTAAGATATTCTACCTCTCTCTCTCTCTCTCTATTTTTTATATTAGCTTGGGTGAAGATTTTTTTTGATTTTCAGGTGCTATGTTTGTATTTTATTGGATTTTTTTTATTCTGATGGATTGATTTCCTCTAGTATGATCTGACATTGTTAAATTAGTACACAAGTCTAATTCATTTCCGTATTTGACGTAATTCCTAGATGTAACAGAGCTAAATGGCATCTTTTTTCAGTGTTATATGTATCTTATTTTCATGATCATGAATGAACACTGGGTTTAGATGATGTTATTGTTTTCTCATTTAAGTGATGATAGCCCACCTGGAAGTGATGATAGTCCACCTGGTATAGTAAATTAAACAATGATCAGTACTCGGATAATGTATTATGGAATTCCTTTTATTTTCGGATACGAAGAAGAATTGAGATATACCTTTTTTTTGGTTAAAAACGCCCAAATTTAATTAACCATGTCCAACGTTATGAGATTAGATATACCTTTCTTATTTATTTGTGGATTGTGCATTGTTATGCACTTCAAACTGAACTCAATTGTTTATTGATATTGTGTATGTGGTAAGGGAGGAATGCCAGGAGCAACAACTCTTAAGGATTGCAAAACATTGGAAAACATGGTGAAAAAGCAGGCTGCGGATAACAAGCCATATGCTGCCGTATGTGCAGCTCCTGCTGTTGCACTTGGGTCATGGGGCCTGCTAAAGGGTTTGAAAGTAAGAAAAATGTATTAGCTCTAGTTATTTATGTGCAAATTGTAATTTATAGTTTATCAGCAATTACTTTTGGATTAATGATGGAGTACTGTGGAATGACACTGTTTTGATCTTTTTGACAGGCAACTTGCTACCCATCATTTATGGAGCAGTTATCTTCATCTGCATCTGCTGTTGAATCCAGGGTTCAGCAGGATGGCAAAGTAGTGACTAGTCGAGGACCAGGAACAACAATGGAGTATGCTGTTGCTTTAGTCGAGCTTCTGTATGGAAAAGAAAAGGCTGATGAAGTTTCTGGACCCCTGGTATATCTATTGTCCCTTATATCTTGTGCTATGTCATGTGTAACGACATATAAGACAGATGACCCCTTTGATTAGACTTTCACTAGTGAAGTTGGTAGGTTTTGACAGTATTATTTGTCGTAAAAAATATTATAGGCTTGTCGAATTGGCGTACGAACATCATTAATTTAATATAAAGTTTAAAACTTAATAAACATGGTAATGATGTAGGCTGGTTGAATAATTGATTGAATGGAATCAACGTCAACCCTTCCCAACTCTAGGCTACTAGGACCGAACAATTTAGGGTGCTATTCTTACTTAGAGTTAGGAGCTAGTTAAAGTGCACATAAATCGAAATTGACTGTTGACTAATTTCAAACCAAAGGCTTTCATTCACGAAACATGAAATAAAATACTATTCTTTCACTTTTAAGGGGATTGGACTGCAAGATGGGATGCACAACTATTAACTATGCCGTGGCTGAGTTGGAGTAAAGGTCTCTTAAATTTTGAATATATTCTGTACGGAACTTCTGGAAATTGCAATTAGTTACCTAGGGGGTGGTAAAATGTAGTTTGAACGCTTGTATAAAGCCAGAGGGTAAATTGGACAAGTTGAGACCAGTTGATGTAAATTGATTATGTAGGATCTGGGAAATGCTGTGACTATGTGGAGATAAGAGTAGTTACTGGAAAGAGAGGTCTTTTAATGTGCTCATGACAACACCAAATTGTTTCATGAAGAACAGTGTTGCAAAGTACTTTGGTAGCTTTACTTGGTTAAACTATATGACTTCTGTAACATTGCGATCAGAGGGAGAGAAAGTGAAACACCTTGACTATATATTTTTGCCTTAAAATGTTCGAGTCCAAAATTTTGTATCGATAGTGATACTTCAGTTTGTGCTGCTACTTGGTTTTTGTTGATGTTTTGGATACAAAAAACGCCAAGTGGACATTAAGACTGCACCAATACACTACTGTGACGATTCAAAAATTCGTTAGTTATGTCATTAATATTCCTCTCGGCGTTTTGCAAGTTGAAAATGTTCCTTTTCAACTATTTGTAGCGGTTTGTTAAATTGCTGCTTTTTTTGAGTTACTTAATCCAAGAATGAGTTGTTGCAAAATTATCCATCTGGAATTGAATGAGTCTTTACCTACTGAGCTTATTTGCCACCTCTTTTTCCCCGAGTGTGTGAAGAACTGGGATCCGGACTTGTCTGTTCTGGTTGCCTGAGTGCTGTAAAGTCTGTAAGTTCAAGTCGAGGAGTTGTAATTTATATGTTGATTGCAGAATTCTATAAGTTTGATATTCGAGTACCATGTGACCGGTAGTTTATTACCTATTTCTGCTTTACAACTATTACCCACTTTTTCCAAATTCATCAATTTTTGTTTTTCGACAATTTCTTACATCTAATCTTCTTATCCAGGTGATGCCATTGAATCACGGTGAGGAGTACACTTTCACAGAGCTGAATCCAGTCAAGTGGACGTCTGGCAGTTCTCCTCAGGTAAATGAGACTGTAATTTTATATTGTCTAATCATGGAAACATGTGTTGTTTTCTTGGTTTTGATGTTTCTTTTCTTGAATATTTACCGACTCATTACTCAAATCACAATAGACATGTGCCAACAAGAGCACCTTTTTTATTCGAAATCCAGCTTACACATGTTCAATTCAATTCGTTGTAAGCTCTCATGTCATGTTGTTAGACATGACCCCATGGTTTTCTTTGGTAGTGACTAAATGACATTATAGGCATTCCTGCTCTCGTCTAAATTATTTGGTTGAGATGCATGAACTAAATCTGTCAGGTGAACTATTTCCTACCATAATTTTTCCAGCTCTCCCTTCTCACCAGATTCTTGTACCCATTGCTAATGGAACCGAAGAGATGGAAGCTGTTATCATCATTGATGTACTCCGACGTGCAAAAGCTCAAGTGGTAGTGGCATCTGTTGAAGATAAACTCGAAATTTTGGCGTCTAGGCAAGCTAAGCTAGTTGCCGATGTTCTCCTAGATGAAGCCATCACTAGTCCGTACGACCTTATTGTTTTACCGGTAAGATGGGCACTCACGGAAAGTTCTCTCTCTTCTTTTTTATTTTAATTATGTCGTAGCTGAGGGATAAGCTGTTGTTATATCATATATGAGCAGGGTGGACTAGGTGGTGCTCAAGCCTTTGCAAACTCGGAGAAGCTGGTAAATTTGCTGAAGCAGCAGAGAGAATCAAATAAACTTTACGGAGCGATATGTGCATCCCCAGCTTTAGTCCTTGAGCCCAACGGCTTGCTTAAGGTATTATATTACGTGTTTTTGCTTTAAAACTTCTATTTCAAGAAAATTGCAAAGCAAACACAGGGTTTTTGAATTGACCATAACAGATAGCAATATGTTGCAGTCAGTTGCACCACGAATTGCATGTCAAGATCTATTGAACATTTTTTACACTATCTTCACTCGGGTGACATTTTTCATTCGGAACATCTTTTTCTTCGCAACTTCGTTTTTATATATATTTCCCTCCAGGCATTTCTAAAATAGGTTCCTGTCTGGCCTTGTTTGGGAATGTTGACGAGATTCATAAGATTGATTAAATTGGTTAGAATACATTGTCCATAATAATGTATTACGTGATTGAGATTTATGATTATATAATTCGTTATCTTAAACCCCAAACATTTGACGAATCTTTGATTACATTGTTCATCAATAATTCCCCAAACGAGGCTTTTATTGACATAATCTAGATCTGACAGGGCAAGAAAGCTACTGCTTTTCCTGCAATGTGCAGTAAACTGTCGGACCAAAGCGAAGCAGAGAATCGGGTGGTTGTGGATGGGAATCTCATCACGAGCAGAGGGCCAGGGACTACAATGGAGTTTTCTTTGGTAATTATCGAAAAGTTTTTAGGACGAGAAAAAGCCCTCGAGCTTGCCAAGACCATGCTTTTCGTGCATTAATAGAGGTAATATAATATATGTAATAATAAAATGGTGGTTTTGTTATGGTTGTACTTTATTACATCTTACCAGAGGCTGTGTTTTATATTGCTAAAATAATTTTGTTAAGAGCAATTTTTATGATGCATCATAAAATTGTGGATGGATTATAATTCATAGGGTAAATTAAAACCACCTCTCAGTTATACGGTGTACTTATATATCAATCCCTTCTTTTTTAGAAATTACATCCAACTCCCCTGCAATTTGTAATTTCTTACATCCACCCCCATACAAA